TAACTTGGAAAGAATTTAGGAAATTAAACAAAGCGGTCCTTTTCTCTTTAATTTTTTCCTTTTCCTTTTTTTAAAGTGTTCTTAGACATCCCGCAACAGTAGTTAAAGCTGCTTTCAAAACATGATTTTTTTTCAACATTTCATAGTGAGCAAAATTCTTTTATTTTGCTGCTTAAAGGAGAATTCTATGTTTTTTTTTTTTTTTTTTTAACACCTTGTAATACACATATGCCTTAAAAGCTTTTCTTTTTTGTGTACTACTTGGGAGAGAAACCAGGGTTTTTGCACTAAGTTTCATCCCGAGCCCTTTCAATTTTTCTTTTAATATTCTGAGAGAGGTTCTTGCTACGTTTCCCAGGCTAAGGGGAGCTCAAGATCTTCCTGCCTCAGCCTATCAAAACCTTGCAAAATGCCCATGCACTGCTCACCATCTGATGGCTGTGCCAGGTGGGTGTGCCCGTAAGCTCTAATTGAGTCAAAGGATAAAAACCGGAAAGATCCAGAGGATGGGATTTCCCCCACAGCAACTACTGATGTTAGCAAATTTGAGTCTGAGAACAGATCAGTTTCCCGGGAGAGAGACGCAGTTACACTTCTTTTTTTTTTGGCGGAACCGGGGATTGAACTCAGTCCCTTGAGCTTGCCAGGGAAGCACTTATTCCACTGAGCCATCTCCCTAGCCCCGGAGTTACACTTCTTGAAATGCAGGGTATGTGCAAATTTAAGTTTACAAATGAGAGGATATATATGATATATATGGAATTAAAACTGAAGTGGAAGGTAGGCCTAAAGGATCGAAATAATCACTACAATTTTACTTAGAAATATTCTTACAATATATGACAGCCAAAATTTCACTGGGAACAGTGTCTCCAAAATCCCCTCCAGCCTGCAAATCTCCAGGGCTTGGGCACTACTCCAACGAGTCTGTTTTCTCTCTGAAGCTTCTTGCGCTGTCCTTATTCCCAACCATATTACAGCCTTATAATAGCAGGAGCATCTTGTGTTTGTATGCTGTCTACTTGCAGGCCCTGACGGAGTGATACAGACACATCCACACGTGTACACATCCACACACATGCACGCTGTGGGCTTTCAGGATATGTGGAGAACACGCGGATCTGCCCATGTGCTGCAAAGGGGTAGAACCCGTGGCCCTAAGACCCGCAGCTCCTACGAGTCTCACCCAGCCTTCCGCTGCGTGTCCCTGAGCTGTTCGTGCTCAGGATGTCCTCAGCATGAGTAAGAACCTTGATTCCACAAGGCCAGCTATTTCTGTCTTCTCTAAGCCATACCACTTCCATATTTATCTACGGTTTCTGTGCCTTCGCTTCACCTGGGTGGCCCTGTAGGCTCGGCTTTAGTTCTCTGCTTCCCTGTGCTGCATCCCGTAAGAGTTCTAACAATTCTGCCCTCTAATAGTTCAGCACGGATGTCTGTCTTCCTCTATTTTCCACTACTGCTGTCCTTGTAGGGTTCTAGTGTGTCCTCTGTACAGCAGTACTCAACTTCCACTTGGTATCCTTCACTGCACGCCTTCAGAATTCTTCTAGAGTGCACTGTCCCACATCTAAGCACCTCACCTCATCGCTTAAACCTCCGCCAGTTCCCCTGGAATAAAGGCACAGTGCCTCAGCATGGCCCAGAGGCCCGAGCGCATGGCCCTTTCAACCTCAGTCTCATCTGTCACCCCAAGAACCAGGCACCACTCAAGCAGTAGCCTACTGCTCACTGTCACCTGAGCACACGAAGCTGCTTCACATCTTTGCCTGTCAGTGGTGCTTTCTGGGAGGATTTCTTGGTTGTATGCCCAGGGCACACTTCAGTCATCCCACGTAGGCAATCTGCAAAAACTGTGTCTGCCTGTTTCCCATACCGGTCTAGGCATCTTGCTGAGCCATCACCCTTCTGTCTCCAGGGTCTGGCACAGCCATGGGCAAAGGTGGCTGCCGAAGTCTGCCAGAAGCACTGTTATGAGAACCCTAAGAATTGTGCCTTTCTAGGTGGGGAACAGACAGGAATGAGGGCTGCGGAGTGAAGAGAAGGAGGTAAGCTTTGTTTAGAGGTCAGAATGGAGCTGAAAGTGGTGGAAGACATCTGGGCGAGGGTGATACAGGGTCAGTGGACAGAACAGTACTAGAAGGGGACTGCAGGCCCAAGAGGACATGTCTGCTAACCGTTCCTTCAATGACCAGTCCTCCATTTATGCAATGCCCGAAACAATGGAACACAAAATAAAATTGTTTTTCTTCAAATTCTTGTTTCTTGGCATTTTCTAGGTAACACATAGGAATTTCATGCAAAAATTTAAAGAACTGCAGTCTTTGGCAAAAAGGGGTTAAGAAACCATTAATGGCTGGTCATGGGGGCACATGCTTGCTAGTCTGTCTACTTAGGAGGCTGAGGCAGGAGGAGTGCAAGTTTGAGGCCACCTTGGGAAACTTAGTAAGACTTGGTCTCAAAACAAAAAACATGTAAAAGAACAGAGGCTACAGCTCAGTGCAAGGCCCTGGATTTAATCCTTAGGATGAAAAAACAAGACTGGCCCCTCCTCCCCCCGGTCAATAATGACAGCAGGATGCATGCTTGAGGGCTGCTGAGAACAGGGCAACAGAGCAGACGAGGCTGTGGGGGAGAACTGCAAAGCGCTTCATTCCTGCAATTCCGATCAGCATCTCAGTGTTCAGTTTCAAAATGCTTCTTGGTTTTTCACTGCTTATCTGGCACTAGCTGTGAGTTCTGACAGCTTCATTCATCTCTGTATGCCTCGGTTTCTTTATTAGGTTGTAACAGTAGTGCCTACCTTAAGGGGTTGCTGTCAAAAGTACATGTCAGTAACTGCAGTGAACAGAAAATAGGAGTGGTGCACAGAAGTGATCAGTGGGTGTGCAATTACTAGTTTGTCATCAGGGACAATTAATTAACTATTGAGATCTGAGCAGGGAAGCGCCTATCCTTGAAATCCAAAGGACACAGCCTTCATGCATGTGAAAGGTTTCATAACAAGCAGGTCTGGGTCACAAATTTGGCTCGAAGGCATACACTTAACCACCTGACCAATTACTTTTTGTGATACTGGGGATTGAACCCAGGGTACTGTATCACTGAGGCAGATCTCCCATTTCTTTAGAGGTTTTATTTTGAGCCAGGGTCTTGCTAAATTGCCCACGTGAGCCTCACACTTGCCATCCTCCTTCCTCAGTCTCCCTCAGGGCTGCGATTACAGAGGCCACTATGCCTGGCCCAAGCAATCGATTTTTATACCTAAGTTACTGCATAATTGTTTTTCCAGAAACTCAGTACAGCCCTGAATGACTCTCTGCAGTTTACTTCTGTTGATGTATTCAGTTGAAAAATGTGTGCCTTGCTGGCTGGCAAATCACTTCCCAACGAAAGTGTACAGGTATAAGGGTCCTCAGAGACTGTTGAAGTCCAGTGGTCCCATTTTACAAATCTGAAGGCTTGCAGAGGTCATGTGACTGGCCCAAGGTGACACATTCTGAGGTCTGGGGATGACGCCTTCCTGCACTGGTCTCATCTATCCCCTTTGTCGCTGTGCCTGCAGGGTTCCAAATGTGCAGGGTCCCGCAGCTGGTTTATTTATTTTGCTTGAATTAAAAGTGACAAAATACCCTCTAGACTGGTGAACACCACTGGCTTCTTATTTTTTTACTTGCCTATGTTTTACTCTTCAACAATATGAATATTATTAGGCACTGTTGCTAAAATTTTACCATTATGTTTAGTTTATATGCTTCATTTTCCAAAGCCAGTCCACTAGGTAAAATCATGCCTTCCCACGAAATGTTTCTTTTAATTATCTGACTGTATGATCTCACTGGTATGGCCTAGGTGTTGTTGCAAAACTTATAGGGTGGGTACATTTTCCGGGCAGGTTTCTAAACAGTTTTGGTAGTCACTGCTAGATAGGATTCATGGTCTCCCACTGGGCAGCACATGGCTTGCAAGCTCACATCTGGAGGGCAGACAGGCCTACCTAACCAGGCGTTTCCAGGGGTAGGCTCTGTGCTTCCGGTACCCAGGCATGGCCTCAACAGTCACCTACAGTGAGGCCTGGGGTTAAGAGATGAGCTGGTCCAACCAGATTCTTGCTCCTGGGAATATGGCTCAAACTCACAGAGGATTCAGGCAGTAAAGACACCAAATCTGAAAAATGCAGGAACAGAATCCATAGGACAGATGTAGAAATGACGGGCTAGAAGTTATAAGAAAGTAGAAAAATATGTGAAAGCTCCGTGCAGAGACAAGGCACATACAAAGCGAGAGTGAGGGCCACTAAGCAGGCCAGTACTGCAGGGAACAAGGCTGCTGTGGTTAAGATGCAAGAGTTTACTGCATGAAAGACTTACACTAGTACATGTTTTAATACCTCATGTAATTCCTCATTAAGACGTAAATTTTTATACTTACTGTCAGTTAAAAAGGAAAAGGGTTTTGTTGCTTAAGGTCTTACAGGCAGGGTCCCTGTTTTGTGCCTCAGGATAGTTGAAGGGTTCAGGTCCAGGAAACTTTTGAAACCCTTCACCACTACTAGTGTGTGCGCTTGGGGCTCTCATCCCCAAAGCAGAATGACCTGGATCTTGCAAATCAAACACCTAATTAAAATACATGGGAAATAAAAGGGCGCGCTAGAGCTAGCTTTTAGCTCCGGCAATCAAGGAGAGTTGTACATGAGACACACTAGTGGTCCTATCTTAAACACCTGCAGCTTTCACCTCCCCCACCGACACAACGACAGCGATCAATGCTCCCAAAGCAAGAGCCACCTATCCACGTGGGTGGGTACGCCTCCCAAGAGTCGAACGCGTCCCCCGTAATCCCAAGGGCAGGCCCCCGGCAAGAGGACCACACTGGCGGGCACAGCTTGCTCTGGTGGTGGAGCCCGGGTCCCAGTTCCCAGTCCCGGGCGCCAAAACAGCCCTCCCCGCCCGGGGGACATCCCGGGCGGCCCGTGCCCCCGCTCTCCGCCACCCGGTCACCTGTAGTTGTAGGAGCTGAAACGCTTGCTCTCTCTCAGCATCGCCCGGTACAGATCTAACACTTGTGCGCGGCTGGAGGCTGCCATTTTGGAAAACCAAAAAGCCAGAAAAACAGCCCAAACGGGTCCTGTTAGTGGAGGGCTCGAGTTTGACTAAACTCAAATTTCAGCCTCTGCAAAAACCTCGGAGCAAAGAGCACGCGGCGGCACAGCCCGCCTAGGGGCAGCCCGCGGCGGGCGCGCAGCGGCTCTCGAGGCGCCCGGCGTCCCGCGCCCGGGGAGGCGGAG